AAAAAGGATGGGAGATGGATGGGGATGGGGCAATATATAGAACTTTTAGCAACATAAACTATGTTACTGAAAGTTTACCACTTTTTGAATTTTAAATCCATCACTCATTAGCAACATGTATTATGTTGCTAAAATTTAAAATATTACTCTTCCACCACACTCTATTCAATGATTAAAATTATTAATTTTAATGGTTAAATATCTTTTTTTGTCCCTCTACTATAGGAAAAAGTCATTTTTTAATCCATGTATTGAAAAAGTCATTTTTTAATCCATGTATTGAAAAAATACCCTTGCTGGCCCTTAAAGTTTAAAATTCAACTCCTTTTTACCCCCATCTTTTTCCCCTTTCTATCTTATCCTCTCCTACCTTCGGTTTTTTTTTTTTTTTTTTTAACCTTTGCAAATCTACAGAAGCTAGGTTCTGCAAAACCGAGAAGCTGGGTCGTGAAACCCAGCAACTGGGTTCCTCACAGAACCCTCCCACCTCTGACTTTTTTTTTTTCTACCTTTGCAAATCTATAGAAGTTGGGTTCTGCAGAACCCAGAAGTTGGATTGTTGAACCCATCAATCGGGTTCCTAGCAGAACCCTCCTACCTCTAGCTTTTTTCTTTTTTTTTAACCTCTGCAGATCTGCAAAAGCTGGGTTCTACAGAACGCAGAAGCTGGGTCATGGAACCTAGCAATTGAGTTCCTCACAGAACCCAGCACAGCTAAAATAAAAATAAAAAAAATCAAGCTTCATAATCATCATAATCAAAATGTGCTTCTTGCTTCTTCAGCATCTTTATGAGAACAATCAAAGAATCAAGTTTTATCATCATCCTTCAGGAGGCAAGGAGAGAGAGGTTTGAGTTTAGAAAGAAATGTAACCAAGAAAAATTGCAAGAAATAAAAGCAAAAACTTAGAAGAAAAAAAATTGAAACAAAATCAACCAATACCGAATCAAAATCCATGGAAAAGAAAAGAACCCAGCTTGTGGGTTCGCCTTTTCATATCTGATTAGGCAAAGCAAAGGTAAAAATTTATTTAACTGATTTTAATAAATTTTCAATCTTTAAACAATTTATTTTTATACCTAACATTTAATTTAGTAGTTGATTTTGTTTAATCTATTAAATTTTATTTAACACTTAGCACATTAATTAATATAATTACATTATTTATTAATATATTTAACTAATTTAAAACTTGATTTTATCTAAAAAAATATGTGAATATGCATATGAGACTACATAGATATTTCATATAAAGTTATTATAATTTTTTTAATCAATAGTTGACTTTTTAAATTAAGAGTCGACTATTTTCAAATAAGAGTAGACTATTTTCCAACAAAAGTACACAGCACTCAGAATGTTTTCAACTCTCTAGAATTTGAGAGTTGAATGTTCATTATATATAGTCGACTCTTGAATGCTCGAGAGTCGAATCTTTGTTCTTAGATTCGACTCTTTATTTAAAGGTATATATATAATGGTTTTGATCAACTACTAGTCAAAGTGGTAATATCATCAACAAGGGATATGTTATTGATGTTTGGTTGGTAAAAATATAAGAATAACAGCAACATAGTATATGTTGCTAATATTTTAGGTGTGGTTGGAAAAGTTTCAGCAACATAACTCTTGTTGCTAAAAGTCACTTTCAGCAACAAGGGATATTTTGATGAAAGTGGAGCTCAATTAGATGGAGAAATGACAACCGGAAAATATCAACAACATGGGGTATGTTGTTGAAATTCACTTTCAGCAACATGTTGCTGAAAGTAGAGCAACTTTTTAAGGAAAAAATGTACTATGCAACTTTCAACAACATAAGACTTGTTGCTGATACAAATTTTCAGCAACAAAGGATCTAATGTTACTGATGTATTGTTATTGAAGGCTTGAATGTTAGTAGTGTTCTTTAGGCAAAATGTTTCTTTCTCTGCATAATACCCAAATTTACCTCTCAAATTTTGTAGGAGGGATGGAACTAACCCCTAACAAAAAATAAGGATAAATCTTCTCATAAGTTTTTAAAATTAGACAAATCATTTAAAATTTAATATGTAACGTTATGTTGCGTTTATTACTCCATTAATGACCAGCTTATGTGGACATTTTAAACATGCTGGAGCCATTTTTGATGACTTGGATGCTGACTTGGAGTCCTTTGTGAAGATGATGAAATTTTTATCAGAAAAATAATTTAAAAATAATTTTTTTGTATCATTTTTTGTACAACCTTATATGTTGTTTAAATAATTAGCTCTTTTCATTCATTTAAAACTTATGATATTAAATGCATTCATTTATTTGATGACATATGAAAATTGTATAAAAGAATGATACAAAAAAGTTATTTCTATCTCACTATCCTTTTTATCAAGCATAAATATGTAATTTTAATACCTAATTATGGAGCCAATCTAAATTTAGGAATGCGTAAATTAAAAAAAATGAAACAACTAGAATGGAACAGGGGGAGTAACATTTCGTGCGTAAAGAAGTAGTGGAAG